CCCCTTTATTGTTCGATTCTATCGATTGTTGACTCCATTTAATTGTTTGAATCCAATTAATTGCTGACTCCCATTATTTGTTTGATTCCTTTAATTGTTGCTTCCATTAATTGTTTGACTCCTGTAATTATTTGATGTTTGTTGAGTGGTGTCAGAGTTTTGTTATATTTTTATAGTAAAGAGATGCCCATCTCAAACGGTTGTTTGTAATTCCTCAGAAAACCATGGTCCTTGACTTTCCTTTATTAAGATCCTGATTAGCCTGGTAAGGGATTTCTATCCCTGAGTCCTAGGCCTTTACAACCTCAATCATATCGCCACTTACTCAACAGGTATGTCTCTCGTGGGGGCGCAAATTTAGATGTAACGGCACCATTTGTATTATATAAATATTTACCCAAATGTATATTACCCATATATTCACCAAGTCATTCATCCATGAGTATGAATCAATTGGTGAGTTGACATTCCCTCTGGGAAGCGGGCGAGGTCAAGCTTCGTCAGCGTAGCTCAGCACAAAAAATATGACGCGTTTCCTTTAAGACCTGCCTGACCACACTCTCTCCCTGTTACCCAGTGAACACCTCACTTAAGTGTTCTCCTATACAAGTGCACTAAGACACTTCCCTGAGCAGAGAAGGTACAATATACTCTCAACTGAACTCAGTACCTGTGAAACTATATTTTTCTTCAATAAAGCAAAACCAACAAAGTGTTTACTTCAGCCCTGCCACTTATCAATTCAAGACCTAATAAATAAATAAATATATATATATATATATATATATATATATATATATATATATATATATATATATATATATATGTTCTCTATGAATATATGTAATATGTATAGCCTTAATATATATAACAACAACGCGCCTGCACTATATATATATATATATATATATATGCAAGTAAATCACTGGTGCGCATTGATCTAGGTATATGCTGATAACCACAAAGGAAAGAAGAAAACATATAACTATATTTATATGTATATGTATAACAACATGTATATATATATATATATATATATATATATATATATATATATATATATATATATATATATATATATATATATATGTATATGTATATGTATATATATATATATATATATATATATATATATATATATATATATATATATATATATATATATATATATATATATATATATGTGTATATATGTATATATGCAAATAAATCACTGTAGGTGCGCGTGATCCAGGTATATGCTGATAACCACAAGGAAAAAGAAAACACATAGTTCCCAAGCGCTTATAAAGTCCCTTGCAAGGAATGTAATATGTTTTACTTAGGCCAAACAGGTAAAGATCTTGTAACTAGACTTAAACAACATAAATATAGTGTTAGGACAGGCCAGGAATCCAATGCTTTGTTTGTTCATTTGAGGGATATAAAACATTGCATTGACTGGGATAATGCCTCCTCAATATTACCTTGTAATTCAATTGACAGTCGGAACATTTTAGAATCTAGTCTCATTAAACATACCGAATCCGTTAGCATGAATTTGAGTAATGGTATGTACAAATTGGACAATTTTGTAATTAAGAAGATTTGTAACCAGATGAGAAGGTTGGGTCAGTTTTTCCCTCTGACCCGATTACCGACCGCTGCGGTGCTTTTATGAAGATTAGTAGGGTTATTACCTATACTTGACCTCTGTGGACTTGATCTCACCCTCCTCTGTATATATATAACTTGTTCTGCATTTCTACTTAGTTTGTACTTACCCCTGAATATGTGAATTACACGAAAGCGCTTGGGAACTTCGTGTTTTCTTTTTCCTTGTGTTTATCAGCATATACCTGGATCACGCGCACCTACAGTGATTTATTTGCATAATGGATTCCACTCGCCACTTCTTCTACTTCTCTACAAGCTGTCCTGGACTGTCTCCTTTCGTTACTGAATACTCATCTTCGATGAACAAGGCCCACAAATTAAAAATAAGCTTGAAATTTCTCCAGACATTCCTTAGTGAAAAAGTTCTGCCTAGATCAATCCTCCCACAACGTGTCCTGAAGATGTCTGACCGCCCCTTTGATGATTTCCAAGAAATCATCCTAAAGAAACATTTTGAAATAAAGAAAATTGAAGTGGATGAAGCTTTTCGTATTGTAAGACAAAAAAAGCGTGTGTTTAATATGACCATACCGAGTGATTGGAAAAAGCTCATGTTGGATTACTGTTTTGATAACCCGAGACGTGCGCGTTCCGATCTTCAAGCTAAGATTGACCACAAATTGTCACTCCTTATTAAGAATAGTGATTGGACTAAGGATGCCAATCGCAACTGTGTAGTGAATCTCTCCTCTAAACAACTAGACAATGATACCTCGTGTGCCCTCGGCTATGGTTTAAGTTTTGATGGCTCTAGCAAGGGAGTCGACAGTGTTGACATAGCCAGAGCATTTTGCAATTTGGAGAAATTCAGCAATTTGACAAGTGAAGAAGTGAACATGTGTAAAGGTGTTTTGTATGCATCCATGTCTAAGCCATGTGTTCTAAGCTGTCCAGATAGATTCACCAAAGCAATCCAAGCCCTTAAGAAAAATAAGGATCTACATGTCACTAAAGCAGATAAAGCCAACACAGTAGTGATTTTAAACAAAGATGATTACATTTCTAAAATGAATGACCTTTTATGTGATGCTGAAACATATTCTAAGCTCATAAATAATCCTCTCAACACAGTTAACACCCAGTTCAACAAAAAACTTAAGTCTCTATTGAGGGGCAAAGCTACTCTCATTAAACATCTTACTTCAACGTCCCCTCCACTGCCATACATGTACGGTGTAATCAAGACCCACAAGCCTAATAACCCAGCAAGACCCATCATTAGCTCAGTTGGGTCAATCTCTTATAAATTATCTAAATGGTTAGTTTCTTTACTAAATCCCCTAGTTGGCAACATTTCTAACTCTAATATTAAGAATAATATGGATCTGGTTGATAAACTCAATAACTTACACATTAATTATGATTTTAAACTGGTCAGTTTTGATGTAACATCACTCTTTACAAAGGTCCCAGTTGATGATTTACTAGAGTTCCTCATAGATTCCCTGGATAATATTTCATTGCCCGTCTCGAAAGACGACTTCATCGAACTCATCAAACTATGTATTAAGGATTGTAAATTTGAATTCAATGGAGAATATTATGCTCAAAAATTTGGTATGGCAATGGGTAATCCACTCTCACCTGTATTAAGCAACCTATATATGGAATTCTTTGAAAAGAAACTATTAAGTAATATTTTACCACCTTCAGCAGTCTGGTTTAGATATGTAGATGATGTATTATGTCTCTGGCCAAGTAATGAGGACCTAAAAGCTTTCCTGCCACAACTTAATAACTTAGCCCCCTCGATCAAATTCACTGTGGAATTAGAGCATGACTGTAAATTGCCATTCCTAGACTGTCTGATACACAGAATAGGTAACACCTTTAAGTTCAGTATTTATAGAAAACCTACTAATGTGTGTTCATACATTCATTATTATTCTGCCCACCATAATAGAGTCAAACAGTCAGTATTTTCAACAATGTTTTTACGTGCTTTGAGAATTTGCAGCCCGGAATTCATTGATGAGGAATATAAATATATCTATAATATTGGCTCAAACCTTAAATACCCTAGATCTTTCATAGACAAATGCCTGAACATTACTAAGAAATCTTTTTATAGAACTGATCCCAAGCCCACCCATGACCATAAGAATCTCTTAGTATTACCATTTCACAAAAATTTCTCTCAAATTCCTTTACAACTAAAAACCTGGAACGTCAATGTGGCATTTAAAAACTCATGCACTGTTAAACAAATGTTAATCAAGAACTCCCCCATTAATACAAATTGGCTGCATTTATAAAGTTCCTTGCAAGGAATGTAATATGTTTTACTTAGGCCAGACAGGTAAAGATCTTGTAACTAGACTTAAACAACATAAATATAGTGTTAGGACAGGCCAGGAATCCAATGCTCTGTTCGTTCATTTGAGGGATAATAAACATTGCATTGACTGGGATAATGCCTCCTCAATATTACCTTGTAATTCAATTGACAGTAGGAACATCATAGAATCTAGTCTCATTAAACATACCGAATCCGTTAACATGAATTTGAGTAATGGTATGTACAAATTGGACAATTTTGTAATTAAGAAGATTTGTAACCAGGTGAGAAGGTTGGGTCAGTTTTCCCTCTGACCTGACTACCGACCGCTGCGGTGCTTTTGTAAAGATTAGTAGGGTCATTACCTATACTTGACCTCTGTGGACTTGTTCTCACCCTCCTCTGTATATATATAACTTGTTCTGCACTTCTATTTTAGTCTGTACTCACCCCTGAAGATGTGAATTACACGAAAGCGCTTGGGAACTTCGTGTTTTCTTTTTCCTTGTGGTTATAGCATATACCTGGATCACGCGCACCTACAGTGATTTACTTGCATATATATACATATATATATATATATATATATATATATATATATATATATATATATATATATATATATATATATATATATATATATATATATATATATATATATATATATATATATATATATATATATATATATATATAGCCGAATTACCCGCGCCTTGCTGCGGTTCACACATTTTTTTTGTAAGAAAATGATGATTGATTTTAAATCATTGATATAATTTATGGAGAAAAATGATACATTTCAATATAACTCAATGTAAAATGTAATGCATGAAAAATTGGAAAACATTATTTTTTGTTATATATCAAATCAAAATTACATTATTAATTTTTATTCTTATTCTATTTCTTGTAAATCAATTTTTTCAAAATATCAAATCAAAACTTGATCATTTTATATTTGTGTAAAGCATTATTTTCAAATTAGCAATTCAAAGATTAATTATTTATTTTTTAACATAATAAATACATGAAAATAAATTTTCATACTTTGTCCTAATGAAGAACTTCAGGGTAAACAACATTTCTTGTCTTTCTTTGATTGGCTAAAATGTAGAGGTTTTTTGAAGTTCCAGTCCTTGAAACAGCCACATAAAACATGCCATGACTGAAACATGGGTTTGTCAGATCTATACCAATAGTTTTTGAAAGTTTGACCTTGACTCTTATTGATGCTCATGGCAAAGCATGGCCTCACTGGGAACTGCAGCCTCCTAAATGCAAAAGGCAACTCGCTATCACTTGGTATAAGTGGAATCCTCGGAATGAGAAGAGCTTGACCTTTGTAAGGGCCGAATATAATGGTTGCTTCAATCAAGTTCTCATGCAATCTTGTTACAACACATCTTGTTCCATTTATTGTTTGGGGTGGGTCCAATGATCTCAAAATCATGATCGGAGAACCAACTTTAACTTTCAGAAGATGGGGAGGCATTCCAGAAAGCTCAATTGAATTCAAGAACTCTGTAGGATACTGTACAGCTTCATCATCATTTGTTGTAGTGTCAATAGATTTGTACACTTTTTCCTGCCCTGGAAATTCACTCATTAACCATTTATTCAACTTGTTGACATTGGCATTTAATGGAGAAACAATCGCTCGCTCAGCAAGCCAGTCTGGATGTTTTCCATTCAAGCTCAAGTCTGGATACGCTCTTGCCTTCAAATCCTCTAGTTTCTCAACACATTTGCAAAGTTCTTCAGGAACTAAAATTGTATCAGGTACTTCCACATAAGGGAGGTGTCCATCTCCAATTGTAAGAAGAAGGTTTGAAAAGTTTGCTGAATCTGAATCTCCAGTCATATGAGCCCTCATATTTGTTGTCAGCTTCTTCACAAATACGTGTCTCCAAAGGTAGGATTCCTTTGAACTTGCATCAACAATGTTTGCTCTTGTTCCATTTTTCACAACAGGCAAAATTTGACGGAAGTCCCCTGATAGTAGAGTTTGAATACCACCCATTGTCTTCTTGACACCTGTGACGTCTTGTAAAGTTCGATCAATAGCTTCAAAAACAGTCTTATGAGCCATGGGGGCTTCATCAACAATTATTGCTTTTGTTTCCCGTATTACTTTGGCCATGTTAGAGTTTCGAGTAACTGAACATGTAGGCTCATCCATTCTGTATGTGTCCAATGGTACTTTGAAAGTGCTATGCAAAGTACGTCCTCCTTCCAACAATGTTGCTGCAATACCACTTGATGCAGTTGCCAGCACAATTTTTCCTCCTGACCTAATTTTTGCTAGAATTAAGTTTTGCAAATAAGTCTTACCTGTTCCTCCAGGTGCATCAAGAAACATAATGTTTTTATGATCTTCTCTTTCACCATTCATCATCTCCAAAAATGCTGTATAAGCACTCCTTTGATCCTCTGTCAATTTTTTATATTGTTCATCAACCTGAACTGCCAACTCCTCCTGATTGTAGTTGGTCTCATGTCTGTATTCACGACAAAGCTGCTCATTATCAACATGGGGTGCTCTTGGTAAGCCATATGTTGTCAAAACATGTCCTCCCATCATGAGAACTTTGTATTCCAAATGACACAAAACTTGATTGAAAATTAAATCTGAGACTGGAGCATCTGGATCATTCATAGACCTGCGATGTTGCATTAAATCATCTTCTGACAATGTTTCTTTGAATATCTCCCAAAGCTCTGCTGGATTACTTGGCGAACATGCTGTCAAAATTATGGCAAAGAGGCATCTCATGTTTGCAGGTGACTGAGAAATTCTTGCTTCTTGCATGGCAAGTCGTAAATGGTCATCACTCTCCAAAAGCCCCCTGGCAAGGCAAGCTTCTCTGAATGTTGTGCATAGAATGCCATCAACTATTTTTAGATCTTGGAATGAAGTTGGTCCTCTCACTTCGTTCAGGAGAAGTCTCAAAAAATAACACTCTCCAACTCTTGGGCTGATTGTGTACATCCTGCCAATGGCCGGAGCTTTCCAAACCGGGCCATCCTCATTAACTCCATCAATCAAAGTACCTCTCTTGCGACGATTCCATTTCTTTGTACTTTTAATCCAAATGTAATATTGTGGGAGTTCAGCATACTTCAATGCCTTTGCAAAGTCATCATCTTGGCAGAGCTGGAAAAAACGTGTCAAAGTTGTAGGAGGTGGAGGGCCAACAGCTCTCTCTAATGCATTTTCTTCACGAAAGAGCACTCTTTGTCCATTCTCAAGATGAATTGCCAAACCAACAACTGGTGGGAAATGCACATGTGTAGGATGCTCATGAATCCGCCATGCTGCTTCTGATGATGACACATATCTCATGTTTTGGTATTGGCTGATTTCATCAATCACCTGTGGTTCTTGACTATTGACTTGTGCAATATTTTGTAACTCAAAAACAGCTTGATCTGACCCCTTTGATATGTATCTGATGCAATACTTGATTGAATGAATTGATGAGCAGATTTCAACATTGATATGACAGTTGAATTGTCGCAACAAATATGTATTGTAAGGCACTACCCATTGATTGGTGATTTCTTGCTCAACTTGACGTCCATATTGTCTCATTTTGATCTTGCCAATGTGACCTCCATCTTCTGGCTTTCTCCTTCTATATTTTGGATAGGAGTCATTCCCTTGTTCAGTAGCTTGTAGGAAATCTTTGGGAAATTGTTTGGAACATTTTCTGTCGACCATACACGGGGATCCTTCATTTAGGGGACCACATGGGCCATGGATCATGTGTTTCATGACCAGATCATGGAGTTCTTTATCTTGCTTTTTTTTAGGGATTTCTGCAAAAATTGCCAAATCATATTCTTCGGCTTTGATTTTGTGCTCTGGAGCTATCCAGAAAAGAAAGTGTGCATGGGGTAAACCTCTCTTCTGGTACTCAATGGTGTACAGCCATGCTTGCAAAGTACCAAATATTCCCTTCTTCATATGTTCCATAAACTTTTTCACTTTTAATCTGAAGACTCTCGCAACAATATCTGGTCGATCATGACTCTCTTGTCCGGGAGCCAAATTGTCAACAATTTCGGGCCAACGTGGATTACATGTCATAGTGATAAAGTACTCTGCTCTTCCGTAGTGTCTCACAAAGGCCATCGCATCTGACCTTTTTTCATGAAGGTATCGAGGACCACCAGTATAGGTCGCTGGAAGCACAATGCGACGACCAACTTGATTTGGATCTCCATCAGCAGCAAGCCTCATCCTTTGTGCATGTGGAGTATTTGCATAACTGGACTTTCTTTTCCGTGGCATAATGGATGTCTGAAAAAAAATAAATAAATGAAAATGTTAAAAAAGTAGAGGCATTAACTAATAATTTTTCTTGCCATAATTCTCGTGATGTTTTGTCATAGATAAAATGTCTAAATTTGCCAAATTTTTCTATAAAAGAGAGGTAAGTTTTGTTGTTGTTTTACGTTTAATTAATAGAAAAAGCCCGGGATAATAGAGGTTCCAATACTCAAGTTATGGGCTTCCAAAATGTTCAATATAGGGGGGGTTTAGCCCCCATTAGGGTGTCTTAATATTATTGAAATTTGCTGATATTTTGTGAATAGGCATCATTTCTGGTCATTTACCTATGGTTTAAATTTCATTTAAATCGAAGGGAAAAATTTTTTCAGTGGGGGGTTTGTGCCCCCCGGGGACCCCCTTTGATCAAAATGAAATATACTTATCCAAGTACCCTGGGTAATGTAGTTTCAGAATATATATGGTTATGGGGTCTATCTCCAAAACCCTAGGAGGAGTTCGTGAACAAACAGACAGAGGCTACAACTTTATATATAGAGATATGTGTGACCAACACACTGGTGGCAGCGGTGGGATGGATTAGAAGAAGAATCGGTCAAACACTCAGAAACAAACATTACTTCAAGTGATTCCAGTGACTAAGTGGCATCCTCAGTGAATCATCAGCAAACAAGCAATTACAAGAAATTTAAGTGGACAGTGACTATAAACACTTGCAAAACGCATACATATAGACACAGTGGTAACAAAAACATTACAAAAGATTGCAAACTTAGCAGTCAAACCATCAGTGACACATACTACTGAAGGTTACCCCGACCGAAGCCGAGAGCAGCCGAGCCTACCTGAGTGTGGGCTGAGATTACTACCAGCTAACACTACATCACCGGAGTTTAGGAAGGTTGTCAAAGTGGTTCCAGACAAGCAAGCAATCTCTTGCTTAAACAAGCAAGACTCGTAGGTGTGCAACAGAGGACAGCCCCAGATCAGACCCAAGCTGATCTCACCAACCAAGAATTCAGCCCCAGATCAGCCACCAGGCCGATCGCACTCACCCAGAGGTCAGCCCCAGATCAGCCCTGAGCTGACCTCCGCAAGACCCAGCTCAGCCCCCCATGTGGATTGCAGTAAGACGTGACGTCATCCCTCCCTGAGAAGGACGTCATCGACTCCTGACGTCATAGCCAGCGCGAGGTTCTACACACTCTCCACTCAGGTAGTTCACAAACAATCATTATTTTAAAAAACTACACAAACACAAGTGAACTTCAAGAAGTCTTCACATGTAGCCAATATAAAAATATATACGTGCACAATGCACAAAAAAGTGAAAGTAGATAAACACATCGAAGAAGTACATCCTCTACTTAAAAAGGATATTTATACATATATATATATATATATATATATATATATATATATATATATACATATATATATATATATATATATATATATATATATATATATATATATATATATATATATATATATATATATATATATATATATATATATATATATATATATATATATATATTATTCAGAAATTTCAGTGTGATTTAGATATGCACGCCATATTGGCGATACTGAGTTTTCAAGGTCGACTGAGCGCTTCCGCACGTAGTGAGAGCTTCTGGAACTAGGCCTATACGATATTAAATGTACTTTATTGAAATAATATGGATGCGATTCATGAAGTTAAGGGACTATTATTGAATTTGAAATTATTATAGATCGTTTATCAAGCTGAATAATGCTACGTATGTCCCAACGAAGCTATTAGTTATGAGGGAAAATATGTCACATAGGCCTAGGCTTGGGAAAGCACAAGCCTGGCTGTTTCTCAGTCAGACGACAGTGTTCGAACAGAGAGGACGGTCTGTGGGTCAGACAGGACAAAACGGTCACGTGGTGTAGTCACCTGTGTTGGGACATTGCAGTTAACAAGTAAGTCTCATTCGATCTCAGACAGGGCTTAGATAGGGCAGTGATAAAATTAGTAATAGCTAACAGTGAGTTCATTGCAGGGTTTTCGTCAGAACCCACTTGAATGCGAGTGATGACTGCGAGTGATGACTGCCGTTTGAGACTGCCGTTGATGATTGATGATTAGCGATTGTCGCAGTTGGAACGATCAGGGCAGGATTGTCAATGGTTTGCTGGGTTAGCAAGGGATCTCTGAAGTGAAACCAGCTGTCTGGGTGCACAACTGATGATCGTCTGGGGTCGCCAGATCTCTTCTACCTCGGCTCACAATATCACATATCTTCAAGCAGTTAGTGAAGACCTTTTACTACGAGAACCTAAAGCTTCTCTCAAATGATACAAGGTCTGATTGGCTCACTCCCTTCCGTCTCATGGATGTACTGAGTGTAAAATGAGGCCAGTTGAGTGAATGTATGGTCACACACTGGGACCAGGAGTCTAGTGGAACTTCGAGGTACATTTTCCAAGGTGGAGAAAGGCTGGTTTGTGCCTTAACTACCAGTGATTTATATTATTTTGTTGAAAGCCCTTAAGGCCTGTTTCATGTGTGCAAGCAACATTTCCTAATACTTTGAATTTATTGTTCTCTAATGAGGCATTTTTCTGAGTTTCTAATAATTTCAATATCATGTATAACTTTTATTCCCCAGAGTAGTGTTTTAAGTTCAGGTTAAGAGGTGAGCATATGTTGGTGTACCATTATTTGATTGTGTCTGTAGTGTTGGAGGGAATAGAAGTGTCTAAATTTTACAGTGTGTCTCATTCACCCCAATCACAGGTGTTATCCTTCCACAGGTCACGGAGAATTAATTTTGTTAGTAAATTTAAGTGTTCTTGTGCTGGTTCGGGTTCTTTCTCCAAGGGGCGCTTCCACTGCAATTTCCATGTAATAATACTTAATAAACCCCTAGTCAAGTGAGAAATAAATTCCATCAATTCCAACCGGTTACACACACACACACACACACACATATATATATATATATATATATATATATATATATATATATATATATATATATATATATATATATATATATATATATATATATATATATATATATATATATATATATATATATATATATATATATATATATATATATATATATATATATATATATATATATATATATATATATATATATATATATATATATATATATATATATATATATATATATATATATATATATATGCAAGTAAATCACTGTAGGTGCGCGTGATCCAGGTACATGCTGATAACCACAAGGCAACAAGAAAACACGAAGTTCCCAAGCGCTTTCGTGTAATTAACATCTCAGGAGTGAGTACAGTCTGTACTCACCCCTGAAGATGTGAATTATATATATATATATATATATATATATATATATATATATATATATATATATATATATATATATATATATATATATATATATATATATATATATATATATATAATCTTCATGTAGATCCACAATGAAAACGCGGATAAGACAAATCTTGATAAAATCACACGGGAAAAGGGAAACAACGGCGCACCTAGGTGCTCCGTTGTTCCCTTTTCCCGTGTGATTTTATCAATATATATATATATATATATATATATATATAAATATATATATATATATATATATATATATATATATGCAGGTAAATCATAGTAGGTGCGCGTGATCTAGGTATATGCTTTATTGATAACCACAAGGAAAGAAGAAAACACGAAGTTCCCAAGCGCTTTCGTGTAATTCACATCTTCAGGGGTGAGTACAGACTAGAGAGAGTAATACAAATCAAGGTGTATATATACAGAGGAGGGTGAGACCAGGTCTCACCCTCCTCTGTATATATACACCTTGATTTGTATTACTCTCTCTAGTCTGTACTCACCCCTGAAGATGTGAATTACACGAAAGCGCTTGGGAACTTCGTGTTTTCTACTTTCCTTGTGGTTCTCAGCATATATATATATATATATATATATATATATATATATATATATATATATATATATATATATATATATATATATATATATATATATATATATATATATATATATATATATGTATATACACTTTTACATACTCTTCGTACTTTTTAGTACTTTTAATAACAAATATATATTGTCTCTTCATTTCCATAACTCATTATAAATATTTTTTTGCATTACTCTATGAGTGGGCAACGTAGTGAGTCTTTGTACAGTGAGTGAAGTGATAAATAGTCCTATACATGGACCCTTTTCCAAAATTTTTGGGAATCACACAGGAAATTAGTGACTCAGAGTCTGATAGCCAGTCATCTAATAATTCACAGGAACTAGTGGCAACTAATAGTGAGGAAGAATTACCACAAATTAGTCAAAATAGAGTTAACACCTACCGACTCTTTAGCTAGCTGTGAAAATTTCATTGATTCTCAGTTTGAGGATTTACACAATAGACAATTAAGGTCAGGTAACATTTACCAATTGCCTTCACCTGTTACTAACGCTAGTGCTTTAACTAACACAACAAAAATGGCAACAATTGGTTCTACTAACCCACAGACTGCATAGGTCTGTCAAACGGTAAAGGTATTTCTAAATAACATTAAGGTACAGGCGTTTATTTGCCGAGGATCCTAATTATACTAGTTTAGCATTTTTGCGTAAATGCGAAGATGTAATGGGCAATAACAATGTCACTAATGACGTAGATAAAATTTCATATGTCCGAAGCCTTATGAAAACCGATAGTCGGGCAGCTAGAGGTATCCATGCTTCAGCCAATGATGAAGAAACGGATGATCATCCAACATTTAGGCAACAATTTATTTATTTTTTTAGATCGGGCTCCAAAGGAGGTCCACTTAGTTGGATTTTT